ACCTGGCAATGCCAGGCTCTGGCTCCAAAACCCCAGGCATGGGGGTCCCAGAGGAGGCCCAGGCAAAGAAAGTGGGGAGCTAATTGGCTATTTTGAGACCATGAACTCGGGCCAAGGCCTCCCTGGCTGCAGTCCCCTTGCTTTCTGGAAAGCCAGTCCCTGCCGCCCTAAGGAGTAGAGAGAAGGGAAGGAGGAAAGGCAAAGGAGAAGAGAAAGGACAGGATGTAGCCAGGAACACAGTGCCTGCCTGGCCAGCACCACGTCCTGAGCTTGGTTTCCGGGAGAGAGAGAGACAGAGAGAGGAGAGAATATGACAGAGAGAGAGGAGGGCAGAAATGGAGGAAAATGGAGAAGATGAGGGTCAGAGACAGAGGCGGAGGGGGGAGGTGAGGAGGGTGCGTGCACATGCGTTTGTGTGTGTGTGTGTGTGTGTGTGTGTGTGTGTGTGTGTGTAGTGGGGTGGGTGCTGCCTGGTAGGGGGAGGCCTTGGTGATACACACAGTCTCTCAATTAAACTCCACTGTCCGCTGCCCTGGCCTGGCAGCCCCTCTCCACCCGCAGGGCACCCATAGGCCTGGTTACCTACCAGCCACCCGGATGGCTCCATGGCCACCCGGTCCCCTCACCCTGCAGGAACGTAGGGCCTCTGCCTGTGGGCAGCCCCGTGGGACACTCCTCCTCCTGGTTCCCATTGTCCCTCCTGCCCAGGACAGGCTGGGTGCTTGCTCCCCATCTTTCCAGGCGGAGGAGTGGCAGGGCTTCCTGCTGCTCAGCGCCCTTGGTGTCCCTGTCCTCCCCGAGGGCTGGTCCTGTGGGGTGGGGGCCTGGCAGCCTGTCTGTCTGGGGCGCAGTTGGAAATCAGTGCCCCAGGGGAAAGGAGAGGAGGGGAGAAGACCAGTGGGAGAGCCCAGGAGCCTGGGTCAGAGCCACCCAGCGGTCTGCGGGGCTGGGTGGGGACATATCGGGTTCATGCATCACGCAGGGGATGTTGGGGATGGGCTCAATAAGGGGACACAATGACAAGGTGAGGTGGGTGCCGTGTGCACCTGGAGGTGTGCTGGGTAAATATGTGTGTGTGTGAGAGTGTGTGCTGTGGGTGTGAGCATGTGCACATGTGTGTGACTTTGCCAGGGCTTCATATGAAGAATCAGAGCCCTGTGTCAAGGGCAGGAACAACAGCCACCTCAGTACTCCCAGCTTTGGAAGAAGTGACGTGTCGCCTTCCGATTAAACTTGATTTTTGCCAGGAGTGGTGACACACTCCTGGAATCCCAGCACTTGGGAGGCTGAGGCAGGAAGATCACCACGAGTTTGAGGCCAGCCTGGGCTATATAAGTGAATTCAAGGCCAACCTGGGCTACATAGCAAAATCCTGTCTCAAAAACAAAAGACAAAATAAATAAACAAGCGTGATTACCCACCTGAGGCCCCTGCCCCCCACCCGCCCAAACACTGTTTATGGGCACAGGGCTCAGCCCTGTCATTTGGCTGGGCAGTCTGGCCAGGTCTAGCTGAGCCCTTGCGGATGGTGCCCAGCCGCCCGGGCACCAGCCCAGACACTTAGGGCCCTGTTTACCCTGGCTGGGGCAGCTGGCACAGGTGGGCCTCACCACCTGGAGGCCAAAGCGGAGGCCAGGACAGCAGCTCTTCGGATGGGAGGAGGAAGGGCACCGCCAGCCCAGGGCACCACACCCTACAGTGCCACTCAGGTACCCACTCCAGCCCAGGCCTCCCAGCTGCCCCATAGGCAGGAGAGACGGCGGGACCTGGGGGCTGCAGGAAGCCCCCATCTCTGAGGCCTTGGTCCTGCAGGCCTGGTCACTCTGGCTTTCCAGGGCAGGGGTCTGTCCTTGCACCCAAGGCTCGGGTGACTTAGCTTTGGAGCATCTCATCACAGCTCCGTCCCCTAGGGCCAGTGACAGCAGTGACAGGGTCTCCCGGGTTCCCCTCTGTCACAGGGACCCCTCCTCAGCCCCACCCAGGATGCATTCACCCTCCCCAGCTCCAGAGCCTGGCTCACACCTGCCAGACCCGAGGCACTCACGCACCAGGGTCTCCCCCACATGTGACCCTCAGGGTTAAGGCCATGCACGCATGTGCACACACACACATGCACAGATGCACAACACAGACCTCTGCACTCAAGCACCCTCCTCCTTGTGCCACTCGGGGCTTCTCACTCTGCTCACCAGCCCCACTGGCTCGTACCTCCCCTCTCCTGATCCTCACCCTGAGGCCTCCTCCCCTGCACCCTATTGGGGGCCCTTGGTCTACACAGCATCCCTGTGACCGCCCCCGGGCTCCAGAGGACTGGGAGCAGCAGCTGGCAAGGGTGGGGGCCCACATCCCCCCATGGACGGCCCACCGCTTCCCATTCCAGGTTGAGTCATCCCCCATCTGGAGCGGGCCCATCCGCAGCTGCTAGGGCCTCTGCAGGCAGCTCCACGTGGACCACCCCACCCCCACCAGCAGGGGCCCCGTGGTCACCTGGCCTGCAGGTGCCCGGGGCCAGCTCCCTTGGCGCTAGGGTGGCCACTCCTTCGAGACTCTCCCTGGAGACGTAACGGCCACCTTGGTACCCACCGCACGGGGCTGCCGGGCAGCGCTGGCCTGGAGGAGGCCAGGTCCAGGGCTGAGGAGGCAGCGGGGAGGCAGTGGTTTGGCTGCGCTGGCTGAAGGAGTTTATCCTGGCGTGCAGCCCCAAGCCAAACATCCTCCTCGAACCTCGAAGACACTTCAAAGCCCGAAGGGAAGGGGCCCTTCAGTAGAGGAAGCCAGCAGTCCCAGGGGCCTGGCTGCCTGGCCCTGGGCACAAGACCACCCTGTGTCCCCGCTGCCAGGCTAAGTCTGGGAGCACTGGTCCTGGAAGGCAGCAGGCAGCCGAGGACGCGTCTACAGGGAGCGCTTTAGCGCTGGGGTCTTAGCTTAGCCCCTGGCACTGACCCCCTCATCCCTTCCTCTTCCACGTGGACACAGCAGAGGGCTGGGACGGCCAGGGCAGGGGGCTCCGGGGCTGGGAGGAGAACTGAGCCTTGAAAAATAGAAGCTTGAGCTGAACGAGGAGGCGAGAGCTGGGCTGCCCGCCAGGGCCCTCCCTGGGGGCCGCAGGGGAGGGGGAGGGGCAGAGAGGCGCTAACACGGGAAGGAGGAGGCGCTAACAGGGCCACTGCTGCGCGGAGAGACGGGCTGGCCTGGAGATGCTAGGAGGGAGGCCGCTGCCGGGCAGGTGGCTGGGCCACGTCGGCACGGAGGCCAGGCTCGGGTGCATCTGTGCCCGTGCACATCCGTGTCCTCACGTGCACGCAGCTGCACATGCACGCGTGCAAGCGTGCACACACCTGGAGCCAGATTTGTCCTCAGCTGGTCACCAGATGATGTGGCCGCTGGGGGAGCCAAAGGCTGAGGAAACCCAGTCGCTGCCACTTCTCCCCTGCCCGCCCCTCCCGGGCTTTGCCTATAAACAGTGGGTCCTGGGACCCGCCCACCTGACCCCGCCTCCTCTGAGCCCCTAGCCCTTTAGAGACCCTCCCTTCCAGACTTCCAGCCTCTTCCGGCAGAGCAGCTGAGTCGGACCACAAGCCCAGCCTCTATCCTAGAGGAACTCACAAACAGCACAGCTGAGCCCTCTTTCAACGGGCCAAATTGCATCTACTGGGACACACTTGTCATCCCAGCATTCAGGAGGCTGAGGCAGGTGGATCGCCATGAGTCTGAGCCCAATGTGGGCTACAGAGTGAGTTCAAAGCCAACCTGAACTGCACAGTGAGACCCCATCTCAAAAAACCAAAACAAACACAGAAAAAAGGATGGGGAAGGTTAGGAGCAGACCTGAAAGTCAGAGCTCTGGGCTGGGGATTTAGCTCAGCGACATAAGCGCCTGCCTTGCAAGCAGGCAGTCGTGAGTTCGATTCCCACCCCCCCACTGGTTAAAAAAAAAAAGTCAGAGCTCTGGGACCCTAAATCTTTCTCTTGTGTGTGGTGACAGGAACCCAGTTGGAAAGATTAAACAGTAGGGGGACAACCTCGGGGCCCTGCTCTCCGTCCCAGGCCTCGGGACCCACAAGTTGGTGGCTGAGACTTGGTCATCTTCCCAAGGCACCTCTGACGTCCTATGCCCATCACCTAGAGGACACCTGGGGCTTCCATTTCCAGAGAAGGGCTTGGCCCCACTGGCTGCCCTGCGTATTCCCGATAGGTGGCCAGAAACTGACAGATGGCAGTGGGGTACAGCGTCCCCCAGAGGCACCTCAATCCCCAGGCGCCAGCTTGCTGGGGGGCACAGCATACCTTGGGAGCAGGAGGCAGAAGAGACGATTCCCCAAACACACAGCAGGGAATGCAGACATCTGGACTCTGCCAGCTGAGGGCCCCTCATCAGGACTTGGGAAATGAATTCCCTGGCTCCTGAGAGGGACCCTGACCTGGAGAGGCCCCTAACCAGCCCAAGCTCAAAGCCAGAGTTCACTTGGAACAGATCAGCTAGGGGATGAAGGCTGAACCCAGAGGGCCTGGTGGCTGCACACACCTGTGAGCACAGCAAGCTGGAAGGCTGAGACAGGAAGTTGGCAAGTTTGAGCCTCGCCTGGGCAATTTAGGGGCTTAAAGAGACTCTGTCTCAAAGCAAAATGCAGTCTTAAAAACAGGGGCCAAGAACAGACCTGGGTTCAGTCCCCAGTACAAAACTAAAAACACACAGAAAAAAGCTATTTGCACGCTGGCCTGCCCCTCAGACCTGCAGGGACACGAGGACATGCCTCATGTCATGAGGCAATGAAGACCAGGGATGCAGGCAGGTCCAGGCCTGGGGGAGCCAGCAGGGAGGGAACATTCACTCTTGCAGGAAGACCCAGGCCCAGGAAGGAGTTCGGAGGAGGTGTTCCCTGAGCTGGGCCTTAAAGGGGGGGCTGGAATTTGTTAGGTCTCAGAAAGGAATGAGAAAGGCCCTCTCAGAAAGGGCACAGGCGGGGTGAGGGAAAGAAGGGGCGGGGGCAGGAGGGCAGAGAGGCCCTGGAAAGCCAGGGAGCAGCTGTGGAGGACCCTGGAGCTGTCCCTGAGATGGGACTTACCCAGATGGCATCGGGAAGCCTCTGAAGGTTACAGAGGGAGAGACTCATCTGGTCCCTAGGGGCCGAGGGGAGCCCAGGCTTCCAGCCTCACTAAAGACCCCACTTCCTGGCCACTGGCCCCGCCTCTGTGCCTCAGGCAAGCCCAGCACGGGCCTGTCTGCCGGGATGGACAGGCTGGCGGGCTTTTCCCTGCCACTGCTGCTCGCCAGGATTTGGGCAGCTCAGGTCACCCTCCAGCGGCTTCTGCGATCAGCGAACTCCAGGTACCCCGTCCCTCACTCCATTCCCGGCTGATTTAGCGGGGCACAGAGGTGTCCGCTTCTGGTCTGGCGCAGTCCAGCGGGTCGCCGTCTCGAACGCGACACCACACCGCCCCTGCCGGCGGGGCCACGCGCCCAGCTCCTCCGAAAAGATCCCAGCCCCACTGGGGAGCTGTTACAGGGATTAGGGTCCCCTGCGGGGTGGGGAAGTGGGGGCCACGCTAAGTGGAAGAGACCCAGCCTGGCTGTTCCCCGGGGCTGGGCGGAACCTGGCACCCCCCATTCCAGTGGGCGCCCCTTCCAGCAGCGGCTCCCCAAGCTGGGTATGGGTGGGGAGGTCTGGGGGCCTGCATGGCGCTGGTCCTGATTCAGCCAGGCGGTGTGTCCCTTTGGGCTCCTGCTTACATGGGCCAGCTGATCTCCAACGCTCCCCACCGGCAGGAGAGGACTGGGACAATCAGCCCATTCTTTGGCGGCTATGCTAGGGGAAAAAGCCAGGCATCCCAAGACATTTGACCCTGTGCTCTCGGGAAATCCCAGCTGGAATGTGGCATGGAATCCAGGGGAACCCCTGACTTCAGGAGGTGCCTGGGTCCCTGCCACGCAGTGACCCCTCCAGCAGCTCCTGCAGAGTGGGACATGGTGCTGCCAGGGTGCATCTCTCCTTGCCCAGTCTGGAGGCCCCCAGGACCCCAGGGCCAGACTCACCCGCCAAGCCAAGCGTACTGGCCTGTGAGGGCATTGCCACCTCCTCAGGCAGGAACACCGAAAGGCAGTTTGGGGGCCCAGGGGCAGGATTTAGGGAGTTGGAACTCTGCCTTCAAGGTCAAGAACTCTGGATGCCTGTGCCTGTGGCATTTTAGAGATGTGGGTAGGGCTGCCAGATTTCAGGAATAAATAAATATACACAACACTCAAGTATCTTTGAGCTTTAGATAAACAACGAATAATTTTTTAGACTAAGTAAGACACTAAAATTTATTATTTATCTGAAATTCAAATTTAACTAGGGTGTGTGTGTGTGTGTGTGTGTGCACGCACGCGCGCGTGTTACTGGGGATCAAGTCCAGGGCCTCCACGCTGTGCATCACCCCGAACCCTTTACATTTTTTATCTTGAGTCCAGGTTTTGTTATGTTGCTAAACTGCCCAGACTGGGCTCAAACTGGAGATCCTCCTGCCTCAGCCTTCTGAGTGCTGGGATAGGGATCCTGTCCTTTATCAAGCAATCCCAGATGTGGATCAGGTGGATGCTGGAAACCCAGGAGGGGCAGCACCAACCCTTTCCCTGTTCTCCAGCCTCCTAAGGCACCGCTGCCTGCCTGCCCCTTCCCGCTCCAGCCTTCCCAGCTGCTTGTCACAGTGTCTCAGCACTCTGTTCCGGGCCTGGCCCCAGCCTGGGTGGGTTTGGAAGGGCCTAAGTGTACGCCAGGCTGCGGGGCTGCAGCAGGAGGCCCCGGGAGCCCCGAAGCGTGGGTGGTGTTGGGAGAAGTGTCCAGTGGTCTGTGGACTGATGGCCTCTGGCCCAGGGAATTTGGGGTCTGAAGCAACTGAGGGAGAGGAGGCCAGAGGTCCTTACCCTCCTAACCCCACCCTTGTGTGCACACCCTAAACCACAGTTGTCCCAGGCTCAGGAGACTGACAGGTTCTGATTTTAGGGACCAAAAGGGGCCAAGAGATGAGAAACAGCAGGGAAAGAGGAGATCGAGGCTAGGGAGAGACACAGGGTGTTGGGGAGGTCAGGAGAGTCCTGAAAAGGTCCTAGAGACAGGGGACAGGACACAGTGCAGGGAAACAGCCACAGACGAGAACAAACTCTCTCACTGAAACTGACAGAGGTACTGCAGGGGAAAACCGGAAGTCGGGACAGCTCTCCAGGAGGCTGAGGCAGGAGGGTCGCCAAGAGTTTAACGCCAGCCTGCACTACATTGAGAGACCCTGTCTCAACCCCTAACCCACCAGAAAGAAAAAAAAAAATGTTGAGAGAAAGTAGATGCTCAGGGAGATGGGGAGACAGGAGACTGGGCAAAAACGGGAGATGGGGGGGGGTGAGCCATACAACAGACCTGTGATTGGGACAGAAGAGAAGCAGAGACGAATCTCTACGAAGTCAGGGCGTTTGGGGGAAGCAAAGTCCCAGTAAAGATCCCGCCACACCGTGACAGATTCCGGCCCCCACCCCATCTCCCAGGCCCGACCCCGAGAAGCTGCGGGTTCCCGCCGTCCCTCCCGCGTCCGGGGCGATGCCGCCCCCTAGCGGCCCGCGCGCCCCAGGGAAGCTTCCACCCGCGACATTCGCGCTCCTGTCTCGCGTCGGGGAGGAAACGTACCCGCACGTCCTCGGGGGTCAGGAGGAGGCCGGGGACGCGAATCCTAAGTCTGTCTGAGATCCGCCAGGCCGCTCCCTTCCTGGCGTGACGCCTCTCCCCGCACCCCCACTCTATGCACCCCCTCCCCGCTCAACCCAGCTTTCTCCCTCCCCCACCTCGTCCCTTCCCCTAAAATCCAGACGACCAGGGGCTCCCAGCAGCCGCGCCCCTCTCCCACTCGCCGCCAGGCGGAGAGCCCCAAAGTCTGCGACCCGAAGGCAGTTCTCGGGGGGCGAGGTGGGGAGCAAGGGGTCAGCAGTCTAGGCGGACCCCGAGATTTTGAAATGTCGGTCTCTTCCACCTCCCAATTCCCCAAACCCAGACGACTCCTCCCCGCCCCGCCCCGCCCTCCTCCTTCCCCTCCTACTGCCCCCCCAGGTGCCCCGGGCCCGCCCCATCCCGGGCGGGGCGCATAGGTGCGGAGAAGTGGCGGGGTCACCGCCCAGCGTCCCCTCCACCCTTCTCCGCGGAAGCCCAGCGGATCCAGGGTCAGGATGCGGGTCGCCAGCGTCCCGGGCCTCGGGCCCACCCTGCTCTCGCCCTGCTGCCCACGCTGCTGTCCGGCCTCCTCTGCACGCGCGCTTTGGAGGTGAGGCTGCTGCGCCCGGCCTGCCCCTCTCTGGAGCCCGGTCCCCACCTTCCGCTGTCAGTGCCCCCTCCCCGACCCTGCAGTCCGCAGCTTCCTTGCCCTTTCCGCGGAGGAGGTGGGAGCGCGCTGGGGAGAAGCCAGAGCCTGGGCGGCCGCGCCCTGGAGGGTAAAGGCGGGGCGGGGTGGGGGGACACGGACTGCCCGCCCGCCACTGCCCGCGGAGGCCTGAGCCTGTGTGTGACCTGCTGTGCCTGCTTTCCAGCTGCTGCTCGCCTTCTGACGGGGGCCAGGCGTACCCTGGCCCTGTTCCTCCAGCGTGGGCCACCTCGGGGCGGCCCCAACCCTCTCTGGGAAGTTCCTTTGCTCGCATCCAGCAGGCAGGGAGGTCCGGGGCTGCCGTGACCTCTGACCTGCTGCCTGACCCGCGGTGTGACCGGGAGATGGGTGGTCCTGGGAGAGGGCTGGGCTCAGGATCCTGGGTAGGCTCCTCTCCCAGGTCACTCTGCACACTGAGACAGGCCCGGAAAGCGCGCCGCAGCTTCCTGCAGCGCTGGGCTGCACCCAGATGGTCTCCAACCCAGGCAGGGCGTGCGGACCTCGGCCTGAGCCCACCCTGGCCCGGAGTAGCTGGAGAAAGTCCTGGATTCCTTGCGCACCCCGGAGCATCCACCTGTAGATTACGCCCAGCACCTCCCGGCCTCCCAGGAGGGGTTGCTGTCTCGCCCAGACAGAAAGCCAGAAAGCCAAGGCGCCCGGGCCCGGAGGTCTTCTGAAGAGCCATGCTCTGAACCACCCCAGCAGGGCCACCCCCGTTAAAATGGGGAGAGGGCAGTGGGGAAAAGGCACTCCTACCCCCAGCAGGAAGTGGGACCAGTTTATGAAACCTGTTAGTACCCGTGGTTTCTCACTTAAGTCTAGGAGAAGTGTCCTCAGGGTGGAGGCTAAGTGTCCTCAGGGTGCCCAGTGTCAGGACCCTGCAGTTCGCCTGGAGCTGGGTAGTCGCCCCTGACGCCTGGAGCTGGGTAGTCGCCCCTGAGTGCTGTGTGTTTGGGAGGCTGTGGGACCTGGGGTCCTCCTTCCTGCTCCTGTGCCCCTCAGAGGCAGAGCTTGTTCGGAGGTGCAGACCCTGACCTGTCGGGACACCTCTCCTCACTGCTGCGATTAGCAAATGAAACTCTGCTTTGGTTTTCTTGAGTAAAAGATAAAGATGCCCTGCAAGGAGGGTCCTGGGGAGTAAACCCAGGGTCTTCATCTCTAGCCCTTTGTATTTTGAGATTAGGGTCACGAAATTGCTCAGACTGGGTTTGAGCTGGTGATCCTCCTGCCTCAGCCTCCCCAAGAGTGCTGGAATTACAAGGGCCCTCCAGCACACTGGCTTGTCTTCCTACTTCTTGAGCCCTGGTTGTTTGGCTCAAGTGGCTAAGGGACCAATAACCCTGTCACTTCCTGTACCTGTATCCCTCCCTCGGCCTCAGTCTAGGAGCAGCCAGGGTGAGATCAGGTAGTCATCAAATATTTACGCATTCATCCTGCAAATGTCTGGACTGCTGGGTTTTCAGCAGTGATCAGAACAATAAAACTCCTAGTCTGCGTGGAGTTCACACTCTACCCGACAATTAATGATTTTAACTATGTGAAATGCTGGGTGGGTTTTGTTTTGGTGTGTGTGTGTGTGTGTGTGTGTGTGTGTGTGTGTGTGTGTGTATTGTTTTGTTTGTTTTAAGCAAGGCCTCTATGTAACCTAGGCTGGTTTTGAATTCACAGTGAGATCCTCCTGCCTCAGCCTCATGACTGCTGGGATTACAGGTGTTCACAAACACTCCCAGCTCCAGATGCTGGATGTTGCTAGGTCCTGTAGAGAACAGTTAGACCTTGGGGGAAGGGGCGCTTTGGGGGTGTAGTGTGATCCACAGAGTTGGAGAGGAAGGTGACAGATAGCCTTGCAGATACCAGAGGGAAAAGTCAGCGGCCACCAATGCCATGAATGTTGTGCAGTTCTGACCAGGTGCCCTGAAGAACTGGTGCGGAAGACAGAGGGGAAGCTGAGGCTGAGGCTAAGGCTGAGGCCGGAGGATGGAAAGCTCAGGACCAGGTGGGCAGCGGCTCAAAATAAAGGCAAAGGTTGGGGTACAGCTCAGTTGCTGAGCATGCGTGAGGCCCCAGGGGAGAAGGAAAGTTACGGGTCCCTGGACCACAGATGTCTCGGGCAAGGAATGGGATGGGTGCCCGGGAGCTTCCCTGGAATGGGAATTGCGGACAGAAGGAGAGGAAGAAGAGGCAGCCGGCACGGCAGGACTCGGGGCCCTGACTGGGAGCGTGGTGGAGGGAGGGACGCAGTGCTGGCTTTTGTCTTCAGTCTACACACCTTGACCGCCTTGACACTGTGACCACTGCCTCTTCTTCCGCAGACTTCGCCCGGGTCTGAGTGTGATGGTGGCTGTAATCTCCATTTGGGGTGGTGGGTGGGCTGGGTCCAGGGGCCCATCCATCTCCCGGCCCCCTACCCCAGGAGAGGCCGGGGTGCATTCCTCTCTGGCCAGTTCCCTCCCATTCTGGCCACAAGGAGCTTCGCACCTGGGACAGGCCACTCTGTAATGCCCACCTCCCTCCTGCAGGCCAGGCCACCTCCCCTGAGGGTCCCTAAGAGGGCGGTGGGTGACAGTGTGAGCCCATGACTCTGATAAATAAATAAACCCCAGATGCTGAGCAGAGCGAGCAGTAGCTGAGGGAGTCCCAGGCAGAGTGCGAGTCTGCGGAGTCTGGGCCGGCACGCGGTGACCCCGAGGCCTTGCCTGCCCACCCGAGCTCTGTGGGTACCGTTGGGACCTCGCTGCTCCTCACTCGGATCCCGACTCCCAGCATTGCGTCTTTCTCTGTCCCTTTGAGTCGCTGGAGCAGTCAGAGCCACTTCGGCCCTCAAGCCCCGCCTGCCCAGTGTAGAGGGTGGGACACTCGTGCCCATTGCCAAGCCCAGGTGCTGAGTCCCAGTCCCAGGTCCTTCCAGTTGCCGCCCATGTGTGGGGAGGCCAGGGCCCCCCTGCCTGTTCCTCCAGTGCCAATCACCCTTCCTGTCCCTGCCCAGATCCTACCCCGGAGGATTCCGATGCTGTGAGAACAGGTGTTGCCAGGGAGATGAAGCCTCCGGCCTCTTCAGGTGAGTCCAGGGCCAGCGGTTCCAGGCGCAGGCTACGGCGAGGATGGGGGACACCCCTTGGGGACTGGTGGCCTGGGCAGTCAGGGTGACATCGGTGCCTTTGGTGCAGGGTTTTCCTCCTCATCTGCATCTTCATCCTGTCTGTGTTGGGCTGCTTCAGCCTGGGCAGGCACTGCTGTGTGAACCGCTGTCAAACAATGGTGGGCCCCACAGGGGGTCACCAGCAGCCCCAAAGCCCAGCCACCTTCGGGGCACCCCCATCCTACAGCGAGGTGAGTGTGCCTGTCCCAGGCCTCTGCCAGCATGGGGAGCTGGTGGCCTACAAGCCAGGCCCCGGGGAGATCAAGTGTCCTCTTCCCCTGCAGGTGGTTGGGAAGCCCACCTTGTCCCTCTCTCCCACGGAGCCCCCGCCTCCCTACAGCCTCAGGCCTGAAGGCCACACTGGCACGGAGAGGGACGTCAACAACCCGGCCTCTGACCTGGAGCCTCCCTGGAGACCCCCAGAGCAAGCTGGCGATGGCTGGGATTCCTGCACTGTCCCCTGACACCCGGCCACGGCACTCGCTTCTTGGATTTAACTTACTGCTTTTCTTACTCCTGTTCCTCCCGGCCTCTACTTATCCTGGGGCCAGGACAGGCTTAAAGGGACTGTACCTGTCCCTCCTCCAAGTTAAAGGCTGCTGGAGGGACCGGCAGTATGTGAGCTGCTCGGTAGGGTAGACAGCGGCCTGTCACTGGAGGTATACAAGTCAGGACTGGACATCTAGCTTGGGATATTACGAAGGCTTTCTCTACCCTGCTGTGGTTTTTTTTCCTTTTTGAGGGGGGGATTCTTTTTGTCTTTTTGAGACAGGGTCTCACTATGCAGTTCAGCCTGGCCTTGAGCTCACTTTGTAGCCCATGTTGGTCTCGAACTCACAACAATCCTCCTGCCTCAGCCTCATTGTGATCCTTATTTACACTTTTGGTTTCTTGTACCAGAGAAATGATATATTTATTTATTTCACTTAAGAGTGTGATTTCGAGGTACAGCCATTTTCCTAGAAATGTCTCAAGCGTATCCTTCTTTATGGCAGAGTAGTACTCTATTGTAAAAAAAAAAATCTTTTTTTTTTTTTTTTAACCGGTACCGGGGATTAAACTCACAACCACCTGCTCACAAGACGGGTGCTTATGCTGCTGAGCTAAATCCTCAGCCCCAAAACACATCTTCTTTATCCATTCATTGGTTGATGGACATTTGGGCTGTTCGCAACATTTAGGTATCACAAATTGTACTGCTATAAACAAGGGTGTGCATGAATCACTGTGGCACAATGCTTGTAATTCTTCCAAGAAGATACCAAGAAGGGAAATAGCTGGGTCACATGGAACCTCTGGTTGTAGTTTTTTGAGGACTCACCCCACCGATTTCTACCATAGTTGCACCAGTCTACACTCTCACCAACAGTGGAGAAGGGCTCCTTTCTCCCCGCAGCCCTGCCAGCGTTTGTTATTGGTTGATTTCTCAGTAAGGACTATTTTTTCTGGAGTGAAATGGAATCTCAGCCTTGTTTTAATTTGTACCTCTTGAATGAGCACTGAGATTGAATGTTTTTTCATACGTTTATTTGCCTTTTTTTTTTTTTTTTTGTCTTTTTTGTTTTTTTTTTTATCGGTACCAGGGATCGAACTCACAACTGCCTGCTTGCAAGGCAGGCATTTATGCCGCTGAGCTAAATCCCCAGCCCCCTTATTTGCCTTTTCTACTTCTTCATCTGAGAAGTGTCTCGTCATTTCAGAGGCCCAGTTTTGGATTGGGTCTTTACGTTTGGTGGAGGGGTTAAATTCTTTATGTATGCTTTGTTGCTAGGTGTGATAGCACATGTGTGTGATAGCACTCTGGAGGCTGAGACAGGAGGATTCCTATGAGTTCAAGGCCAGTCTGAATTACGGAGCATGAACCTGTCTCAAAAAGAAAGAAACAAGGAAGGAAGGACGGACAAATAGAGTAGCCACTCCTTTTTTCCAGTTTCTATCCTTTGACTGTCAGTATATGAATTTCTTTTGTAATTAAATGTGTTTTTTTCTATGCAGCATATTATTAGATTGTGCATTTTTGTTTCTTTGTTTTGTTTTTGCTTCTTGATTCACTCGTCCAGTCTGTTAAAGCAATACTTTATAATCCACACTGGTCTCGCATGATTCTGCCTCAGCCTCCTAGTGCTGGGGTTACACATGTGTTTAATCATTTTTATAATTCTTTAATGAATTATGAAAAGCTCAATCACATTTAACATACTATATTTGAATAATGAGAGACCCTCAAGTTATAAACAACAATGTACATACATCTACACAACAATTTCAGCAACATTTTGATTAATGGAACCCAGGTATGGAACCCAGGTAGAAGCACTTTTTTTCTTTTTTAAATCTATGACCCAAATTAAACTTGGATTAAGTGATCCAAAAATGTAAACGAAAGAGAAAAAAATACTTGAGCTCAAATAAAGAAGAACAACTGTACCAAATAGACAAATGGACAAACATGGACTTGATCTGTGCGGATGCAAACACAGAATTAAGTACACAGCTTGTCGGCACCCAAGAGAGCGCTCCAGGATTCCTGCAGCCATGTATGTATCTGCCTCTCGCCCCCTTGCTGAACTAGCTCGATTCTTAAACCCCGTGTGCTCGGGCTTGGAACATGGGTCACCTCCAGCACCCCACGCCCCCGGGATGTTTCTTGAGCACTGCTATATGGACAATGTGCTTTCCTGTGTGTGTGTGAATGATCCCTACTCAGCCACTTCCAACAACAGTTTAACAGACTGGACAAACAGACAAACAGATAACACAGGCAGACTGACAAACACCTTATAAGATCAGCCCTACACTCAAATACATTGTAGCCAAATTGAATTACACTGACTTTACACCTGTAGAATTTGTGATTACAAACAGACCAGGCACATTTGTGGTAGATCAGTTAGCAGAGCTCTCTGGTAAAAATTTGTAGAGGACAAAGACTTATCTATAATAACATGTATTTTTGTGGTAAGGCTCAGCATGCCCTCCTGTATCTATTTAGACCTTTGGTTTATTTTTGGTTCCAACTCCTGGGCATCCTGGGTCAGTTAAGGTTGGTTCTGGCTTCATCCTTTTCTATTGGTTCTGGCATGGTCTCTGGCATCACTGTCGGAGGACTGAACATCCGTTTCTTGAGAGGTGGCATCAACCCCTTCTCTGGCTTTGGGTCTGTGAGCCAGGCGGGCAGCACACACTGGCACCCAGAAAGGCCGTTCTGCATTCTCTGGGAAAATACAGGCATCCCCTGTACCCCAAACTGGCACCAGGCGAGTCCCTTCCGTTGTTCAGTGTGAAGATCCTTCCAAAGGACCCTTCCTAACCCATCTTTCTTAACCTGACTAAATTATTTCTGCTGTTATAGTTCCTCCTTTGTAGAATTTTAAAAATTAATAGTATACACTGCCAAGTGAAGTCTGCTATGAGATGTAAATTTGGTAAGGAAAGTTTCACATTTTTGTTTGTGTAATTAAATTTTGAGGGGCTGGGGATTTAGTCAGCGGCATAAGCACCTGCCTTGCAAGCAGGCAGTCGTGAGTTCGATCCCTGGTACCGATAAAAAAAGAAAAAAGAAAAAAAATGTAAATTTTGAGCATGTTTTATTAGCCCGTATCTGATAGCAAGAGCGCAGGCGGGGGGAGCCCACGCCTCCTTTGTCTCCCTAGGTTGTAAGCGGGCGCCCCCCTAGGGGGGTGCAGCCTGTGAACCCCCTCTGCCCTCCTGCACCGTGGGAGAATGTTCACAGCCTGCTAGCCCCGCCCCCCCAGTCACCGTCAGACTTCCGGTTGACACAGTGTATCAACCATCCGCAGCTGCCACTGTCCACAGGGCACCCAGGCTTTACACCAGCATCCGGCTCCGGAGGCTGCAATTTCTAACATTGGACAACTTGAACGTTTTAACCCGGACTGAACAACCCTTAAGAACCGGTGCTAAATCTATCAGCACCCATGACGTTAGAGACCTAACAGTTCACCTTGCAGCTGAATCCAGCAACACTGCTCTGCACTTTTCTTGTCTGGGCGGAGCTCCAGGCTCCGGAGCTCTGGGTTCCCTCCCTGCCTGGGGCCTGTGAGAAGCCTGACAGGAGCAGAAAGCAGCAGTTTTTCACTGTTAACGCTTTAACGTCTGTAGAGGCCCCGATAGATTTGTGATTTGTTTTTCTCTAGCCTTCTCTAAGATGTTTTCCCATTCCCTCCCAAGTATGTAGATTTACAATTCCTTCTTCTGGAAACAAAGTCAAGAAATGTAGCAAGCTGTGTAGTGTTAGTGTATTGAAAACTAAAAGTTGATATAAGAAAGCAAAAAAGACCTAAATAGATGTAGAGTTACATCAAGCGTAATTTGAAGCAAGTACCTCTAAAGTGAATATTTTGGGGGAAAAAAAACATTTTTAGAATTTACTGCCCGATCCCAAGACCCACTACAAAGCCACAGTGAGATAGGGATATGTTGGAGCCAGCCTATTACCAGCTCAGGAAAGCCAATGGTGGAATTTTTAGGAATTTTACAGGTGAGTTGGCTTCATACTGGTTGTTTGAAATTCTTTTGTGAGAGTATTTTGTAAATAAGCAGCAAACCACAAATCGACCACACTGCCCCCTGACCACTAGTAGCCTGCCGGGCCAAGCAGAGCCGGCCGTCTTGGGAGCTGGCTGAGCCATGGTGTCCCGCTCTGCGGCAGGGCTGTCACAGGCCCACAGGACGTTTTTCCTCTGGACCAGGAAGGCCTTCCACGTCAGTTCTGAACCGGCATCGAGTGGCCCAATGATACCGGCATCTACACTCGGGTCAGATAGTGGAAGCTTTTGCGGAAGGGACAGACAGTGGCCATGTGGCCCCCACAGGTGCAGCAGCACAACTTTTGGCAAAATGTCCCCTCCCGGCACAACAGCGATAAGTGGCTTGTGTTTCCTCTTTCCTTTAGGCTGGGAACTGAGGACCTGAGTAATTATACTTTGTTTAGGACTGTTGGGGATTGTAGATATGCAGAAAACCTGCTGTGTCTGGCCCGGCCCCTGGCTTCCTTCAGCACTGATGGCAGGGCAGCGGGAGGAGAGGGCTCCACTCCCGGAGCGGAAGGAGGAGGCTGTCGCCTATGGCTCCATTGTGGTTACCCTGTGATGGCTGTCACTTCACCATTTTCTTTCTGCTCATGACTTGATTTTAAAACCATGTCTGGAGCCAATCCCACACCAAAATGTAAATACGAGAAGCAAGCACACAGCCACCAGCTCCACACACAGCTGTGATCCTTTAGAATGTCTTTGCCCCATATCTAACAACTGGTAAAATCGATGTGTTTCTTTTCCTTTGGTTTCTTGTAAGCCAATTTTCCCTCTGAATTCTCTTAAGTCCTGTTCATCTCTGGCTTCCCTCGAGCCTGTGTGTCTTCAGCTTTTGCTCCCCAGCCCTGATGGACTCCTTATTTATCCCCAGGCAGCATCAGTTCACTCCGGTGATGAGCATTGATCACCTCCTTTCCACTTCTCCCCCTGCAGCACACAAAGGAGACATCACCTCACCTGCTGTCTCTTCTTAGCCCTTACGTTCCTGGTGGGAGAGAAGGAGCTGCTCCACACGGAGGGTGTTATTTATACACTCAGGAGGTAGGACATCAATTCCAGCCCCGCTGCCTAGCAACTTGTCTGCCTGGCTGCCTGGGCCCCCTGCTTGGAGCTGAACCAGCCTGTTTACCTGGCTTGTTCTGGGCTCTCTTGTTTCTGGGCCAGCCTTGCTTTAGCCCCACACATGTGATCAATCTCCAGCTCCCAGGGCTTCCTACAGTAACCCTGGGGAGAAATTAAGTGAATTCAGGACCTCTTTGTCCCATCTTCCGGATTAATTTTGGGTTTTTGTTGGTTTTTTTGGAGACAGGGTCCTGCTGTGTAGTTCAGGCTGGTCTTGAACTCACTGTGCAGCCCTCACTGGCCTTGAACTGGCTGTTTCAGCCTCCCCAAGTGCTGAGATTACAACTGTGCACCACCTCGCCTGGCGTCTGTATTACTTTCAAAATTTTAAAACATTTTTTAAAAATCAGTTTCCTAGCTGAGCGTGGTGGCTCATGCTTGTAATCCCAGCACTCGAGAGGCTGAGGCAGGAGGATCTTTGCGAGTTTGAGACCAGCCTGGACTACAAAGTGAGCTCAAGGCCAACCTGAACTGCATAGTGAGACCCTGTCTCAAAAAAACCACACACACAGGGCTGGAGGTTTAGCTCAGCGGCATAAGCGCCTGCCTTGGAAGCAGGCAGTCGTGAGTTCGATCCCTGGTACTGATAAAAAGGAAAAAGACAAAAAAAAAAAAAAAAAAACAAAACCACACACACACAAATCCGTTACCTGCCTCCACATTCAGAAGCTGCTTATGTTGGCAAATGTCGTTAGATCACGAGTAGGGCTCTGATCTTAGTGCCCCAAAAAGGGCCCCATTTGTGGCCCTTAAACTGCAACCACTTGGGACTGGAGACCAGGAATTTGCCGGCCTCTGGTGGGGTGGTGAGTGCAGGTGGCTTCCCTGTTGCTGAGTGGCCCCCACTCAGACTGGAAGTGACAGGAACAAAAGGCCGACTGGGGCTCAGGGATGACACTTTGTCTGTCACCTGGCAGGATCACTGTGGAGCAGGATTATCTTTTAATTTGAGAAAATTCAACCATGGCAGCTGCTATTTGGTCAGTGCCTCAACATGTGCTTGTGTTTCCTGCCGAGCAATAGAAAATGTCCAGGACTTGGGTCAGTCTCAAGAAGAATTTCTGGTTGTTTTTTGTTGGTTTGTCTTGTCTTGAGAAGGCCTCCTTATAGAACCCAGGCTGGGTTTGAAGTTGGAGTCCTCCTGCCTCAGCCTCTCCAGTGCTGGGATTCCAGGTGTGCACTGCCATACCCGGAACTTCTGGCCACTTTGCATGAGTGCTTCTGCTTCTCTGGCCACGCTGACCCTGTCCAGACCCCTCTCCTCATTGCGACACGGGCTGCACAAGAAGGATGAAGCCAGCCCTCAGAGGAAATGGAGG